ACCTATGACGTAATGCATTCATGGTAAAAATTTACGTTTTATCAATTTTCTTTTTTATTTGATAAATGTGTCATAATTTTTGCATTTTCAAGCGGTCTATTAATTGAACTTTGACACAGAAGTGATCCATTATGTACCTTAGAAGGACTGGAAAGATTAATATCTCGCATCATAGGTCCTATAGGCCTCGGTGCCAGTTTGTACCTAACTGATTTGAGGTCTGAAATAAATTGATTAAAAAAAAAAAAAAAATATGCTGAAAACAGGTCCGTCTTTTCATTCGTAGATTTTTGTTCCACACAAATCTATTTTTTTGAAAGTCATTTAATTTTATTTTAGCAGATAGTAAATTCTTTATTTTTGATAGCTCAATTTCCTTATCTTCGTCTCCAGATCCTCGTTTTCTACAAAGCAATAATTCTTCTGACACTGTCTGACCAAGACTGGAAGTCTTTTTTGACAAATGTCTTCGACAGTTTCGGTATGCTTTTTATCGTAGTTGTCAAATACCTACTCTTTTTGAGAATCGTCCAAAAGCTGCGCTGGTGCATTTTAGCCGCTGTTGAATTCCTGCGTCAATGTTCGTATTTGTCACAAGATATGACTGCCTACAGAGGTATATGGGAAGTGTTTTATATTTATATATAGGGTATAGGAACTTTGTCTTATCCGTTAGATTTTATTATTGTGTCATTGCTTTTGTATGCTTGTAGATTGTGGGGGAAGTCGTTTCGGCTTTCTAGCTGATCAGTACTGCTACGTTTGCAGATATTTTGTACGTATCTTAAATTGTCTCCAGGGAGCGTAGACTTCTGCCGAAGAAAGCTATTTTTTTGGGTGTCATTTGGTCCACTTCTTCTGGTGACAGTGTTGCCCCCTCGAGGAATTTGAGCCTCTTGCATAAATGGGCTGGACATTCTCAGAGCAGGTGCTCTGCGGTCTCTATTGCGTCTGAGCAGAATCTGCAGAGATCGTCTTCTGCTTTGCCCATCAACCTTAAGTGGTATTTCACCAGGCAGTGCCTGTGAGCAGTCCTACGACTATTCTGATTTCTGGTCTGATCATGTTCAGGAGCTGTTCAGCTCTTTTTGCTGAAAAGGTGATAAACCTTTTTGACTGTCTTAGTCTCGGAGTGTGCCTCCAATATGATGACAGTTGGTCTTTCTCCCATTTGTTGAGTTCTTCCATGATGTGGCTTTTCATTAAGCCACTAATAGGGTCTATGGTATGGTGTTGAGGCCCCTTCTTTTGCGAGGCCATCTGCTTCTTCGTTTCCTTCTATACCTCGATGACCAGGCAGCCACATTACCGTTACCTGGTTGTGTGTCGCTAGTGTTTTTAGGGTCTGTTTACACTCCCAGACTAATTCTGAGGTGTATTTGAAAGCCCTTTCAAGGCAGCTTGGCTATCTGTAAGTATAAAGATGTGTTTTCCTCCGAGGCTTTGGTTAAGACACTTTTGTGCACATGTTTATGGCAAGCAATTCGGCTTGAAATATTGTAAGATGTTTGCCTAATGCCTTGGAGAGCTTTTAAAGTTAGGGCCGGAAATGCCCAGTCCAGCTCCTTCCGTTAGTTTGGATCCATCTGTGTACCACAGAGATGCATGGTCTGCTTGTGGTAATTTTTTATTCACTCATTATTGGCGATCGTTTATTACCACTGCGAATGAGATCTCTAACTCCAATCTGACCATCATGTGGTCGCTTGGTTTGCTTGCATTCTCCAGTTTTATTATTTCAAAGATGCGCAGATGTCCCCTCAGATCACCAGGCTTGAACTTGTCTGTTTGGAATAGCCTGTGAGCGCTGATTATTGCCTCCTTTTTCACACATACATGAAGTGGAGACATGTTGAGCTGCGTCTCTAGGGCTGCGGTGGGGGAGGTTGTCATTGCTCCTGTTATTCCTAGGCATATCAGCCTTTGTACCTTGTTTAGCTTGATCTGAGCGGTGACTTGCTGAGTTTTGGGCCACCATACCAATGAGGCGTATGTGACCATGGGCGTTATTATAGTTTGGTAAATCCAGAATACCATCTTTGGCTTTAGCCCCCATGTTTTACCAACCAGTTTGCGGCATGACCAGATGGCTAATGTAGCTCTAGCACATGTTTTCTTTAAGTGTTTGTTCCAAGTGAGTGTTTGGTCCAGGGAGACCCCCATGTATTTCACTCCGTTGGAAAATGTTAGTTGTGTACCGTTAAGGGTGGGGGCTTTCAAATTTAGCTTTTGTCTTGTGAAAGGGACAAGAATCGTTTTGCTTGGGTTTAAAGATAATCCCTCGCCTTCGCTCTAATTTTTAACGATGTTTAGAGCACTTCGCATTCGGCTTGTTATTACGCCTTCATGTTTGCCCTTGATTATAGTGGCCAGGTCATCTGCATAGACTATGACCTGGTATCCAGCACTACTCAGTCTGGTAAGGATTTTGTCCACCACTAGTGTCCATAGTAATGGAGAAAGAACACACCCTTGAGGACTCCCTCTGACCATGGAACAGGTAGCTGATGCTCCGTTTATTTGAGCCGTAACGTAACGGTGTTTTAGCATCGACTCTATCCATTTTACAATTGGGACTTCAACATTCGATTCTTGTAAAGGCTCTAGCGATTGATTGATGTGAGGTGTTGTCGAAGGCACCCTCTATGTCAATGAATGCTGTGAGAGCGATCTTTTTGCACTCGATTGTCCTTTCAATGTCTTTAACCAGGCAGTGTAAAGCACTTGTTGTAGATTTGCTCCTGGCTGATAGACAAATTGCTTTGAGTAGAGCGGTCTTCTCAATAAAGTTTCGTTTCTGATATACTGGTCAATTGCTTCCTCCATTGTTTTGAGGAGAAAAAAGGTTAGGCTGATGAGATGGTATGATTTCGCTTCGTCCTCAGGTCAACGATTATTTTTTGGTATGAATATAACATAAGCTGCCCTCCAAGATAGCGGTATGTGTCCTAGGACCAGCCTTGCTTTGAAAAGTTTTTGTGAGTGTACCTTTAAGTACTCGTTACCTCTTTGCAGTTGTGCGGGAAAGATCCCGTCTTTGCCTGGAGATTTGTAAGGTCTGAAGCTATCAGTCGCCCATTTTATTCTGTTCATTGTGAATATTTTCCCTGCCAGTCTTTTGCTTCTCCGTTAGGGCTTTGAGACCCTTCGATCGGCGGAGTGACCTGGTTCAAGGCTTCTTTTTATGCTTCCTTGAATGCATTGAGGAGTGGTTTGTATGTCTTCCTCGGTATTTGCTAGGGCTCCAGGACAGCGTTATCATCTGCTCATTGAAGCTCATAAACAGTTGTTCCGGATGCCTTGGTCTTGGCTCGAAATCTGCTTAGATTGAATAGCTTACCAAATTTCTATGAGAGGAGATCTTAACGCCCAACGGCAGGTTTTTTTGGACAATGTGAAGTAGGTACGGATCCTACAAATATAGGTAATAAACTTGGCGCAAATGGCAGTTTCTTGACTTTGGTTGAAAAGGCTAAAATAACACTTTGTTAATCATCAAGACCCAGAAAATGTGTGATCAATGCTTGTAAGCACAAAATAAATGATAAAAATTTCAGAGAAAAAAAAAAATTCTCCAATATATCCTGGGTTTTTTAGTGAATTGCATTTCTGGGCCAGTCTGTCCATTGGCGTGAAGTGCATTTAACTTTGATGAGTGAAAATCTTATTTATGGTCTTTGTTTTGGAACCCAACAATGAAAATTGGAAAAAAAATTATTTACTTATATATTACTTATTTGTTTCTATTTTTTTTATTTGTTGGTTCTTTTTATCTACTGCTTTACTCATATCAGTGCTTTATGTGTACTATAATTCTGTAATAGAATTTCTAAATAGGTTAATTAAATATATTCCTTTCAGGCACTCAAATTGTCTGGAAACCTCAAATATCTAGGCTAGCCAGTAAAGTTTTAGATTTCAATGAAGTGTTTTCAAAGCATTACAAGACTGATACCCAGTTTATTGATCTTTAGATAAACTTACTGATAACTGTCTACAATATAAATTTACCAATCTATAATTCTATTGGTCAACGGGTAACTGGCCTACCAATAGGATTATAGATTGCGTTTCTATTCGTCACATTGCACTACCTGACAGTTTATCAGAAGATCAATAAACCAGGCATTAGACTAGTAATTTTTGCATACTTGTTTCACATACCTTATCAGATATAACTGAGACTCACATGACAGTACTTACATCACACAAGAGGTATTCAATAAGCTATGCTCCTCAAAACTTCATCCAGGTTTTAAAGTTTTTATTTAATTCGCCTCAAAATTTCAAACCAAAAGCCAAGGAATTATTGACAAAGACTTTTTTTACATCAAAGTTGGCGACAGAGGAAAGGGACATGGATCTAATGCCGCCACAGAAATTCTGGTATCTCAGGTTGGGTAGAATGAACCAAAATTGATGGTATTATTGTAATTGAAGCTATTAGTGCATGAAGGTGTTAAGTCACTTTTTAATAATTCTGAAATATTTAGGGTTAAAGTAAAATTGTTGGAGCTTTTTCTGTTTAAACTAAAATCAAAATCAAGATGCGTCAAAACACAGACAAGAAATGTAAATTTAATATTACGAGTCAACTTTTATAATTTTTTATGTTTTTTTTTTTTTTTCATTTTTGAATCAGTAGTTAACCCCTTCTTGCACAATTATAAAGAGTTAACACCTTCTTGCTCCAAATAAGTGCGACAAAACTTGAGTTAACGCGATTTAAACTTCAGTTTTCAAGGTACCTGGCAACATCTATGATCCAAAGTCTTTACTAACGCAAAGAATGAATTAACACCTTCATACATACCATTTTTCGGGATTTCAGCTAAAAATTGAGTTAACACCTTCATGCACTAATAGCTTCAATTTATAGACTAATAATTTTCAGTTTCCATAATAACTGGATTTTTGGAAAGGGATCTATTTGTGGAGTTGTAGGCTTTAGTGGGTATAATTATCAATTTTAACAGAACACTTTTTTTTAATATTTTTTTTTAATTTCAGTTATAAAATAACAGAAATGATAAAAATTAATATCTAATCTAAATTAAGACAAATAAATGATAATCAGTTCAAATAAATGCATTTTTTTCATGTCGATAGTTTGTGAATTGAGGCAAACTTCTCAGTCGAAAGAGTTTTTATACCTACCAATTTTTAATTGGGAAATGAACAAAATAGAAAAATAATAGAATTTTGGGAAAACTTAAAAAAAAATACAATGATAATAATATCTATTATCTAGGAATATAATATACCCAGCAGCATCCTATAGCACTGCAGGAGCATGTGGTGGTGCTTTTGATTTATAATAATCAGAGGGCGCGTGCATAACAAATTCAAAATATTCAAGATCCCTTGCCATATCTTCTGCTGGACCTAAAATCAAATATGTTTAACAAATTAGTACAGGTAGGTATCACTTTGCATAAGTATAAATAAAATGTACCTATGATATAAGTCGCTGGGTCAAATTCTTCATTTGGAGGAGGACTTTCAGTAGTTGGTAAGAGCCACTGAATCACAGCGCTTTTGTTGCAATACTCATCAGTCATAAGTCCAATGATTTGGGCATAGTAATAGTTACTGTCCTCACCAGTCACAGAAACTATGTCACCAGTTTGAAAGTAACTGCCCTAAAAACAATGCATTGATTGTTACCTATATTGCTAAAATAAGATCAAGTTACCTTATATAAAACTCTATCGGTTTTTTCAACTGTAGGAACCCTCTTAGGTACATTCTTAAAGATACTTCTTCGTCCTCTAGCTTTAGACACACTAGACTGCTTAGAAGATGCAATGGGATTGTGTTGGGTGTTAGAGGACTTGCCTGCTCTGGCTTTCTGTTTTTGTGTAGATTTTCCGTCTTTACCTCCTTTGGATCCTCCAGCTTCTTCTGTTTCCTTGTCCTTTTTATCCTTAGTAACGCAGTCTAGGCAAATGACGCCTAATTCATCCGCTTTTGTCCAGAATGAGGATTCGGTGGCTTCGCATTTCAAACAGACAACTGGAGCATTATTCGGCATCTTTTTGGGCCTGAGCCGGCGGCGGCCTTCGTTTATTTTGAAAATTTTGATATCAAAATAAACTACCCTAACCCTAACCTAATTTCAACACCTGAATAAATGACATTAAACGAATCCGATCATTGGGGTACGTTCGATAACTGGGAGTATTCCAATACAGTAAAATTTTGGATCAAACGTGACACACAAAACGTAAATTAGGACTATACAAAAGATGTATTCTTTCGTTCTAACAAACTGATTACTTTCACCTTATCTGATTGCAGCTGCTTACGAACTAGCACTTTTCTCATGTTTAAGTTAGTTTCTGACCTGAGCTAAGTTGTTAATGGTACGTGCGATGTTTGTGAACTTTTCCTTGTCGTTAAATTTAAAACTGACTGAAAGTTTCACATTCCATTCTGTGAAATAACACACTAATGGCCGTTTCCACCAACTATTTCAGGGAAGCCTTAACGATAAGTATTCCCTAAACTGACAGTTTTCTATGGAAAAATGTCAGTTTAGGGAATACTTATCGTTAAGGCTTCCCTAAAATAGTTGGTGGAAACGGCCATAAACACCTTTTCGAGTTTTCCTGTCCCAACTTAGGGCAGCTAAGTTATCTCAGTGAAAAATCCTGGTGTCTTAGCAGGGGTAAGGGGGGAAGGCAGATTCTAACTTAGTTGTGACAAATCGTACGCACAACTTAGATTCGTCAAGTGATAAAGTGAACGGATGTTTGCCTACCCCTTTCCCCTCAAGCACGACCTCGGATGGCCGATCACTTCGTTCTAAGGTTGTTTGAGAGACGTCATCGGGTGCCTCAACATCTCCATAAGGCAAACCAGATGCGTCATCAAGTTACCCATTACCAGGCAACCTATTAACTTAAGGAACCTTGACTTCGTTCATTTGCAAATGGGGTGTCCATTTGTACTGCTTTTCTTGCTTCAATCAGATCTGAGCAGTGGATCGGCGTGCACTTGTTCCATATAGAAGCTCATAAATAGCAGGTCCTAGCAGATCTTCCTGATTTTTCGAGCAGGTAGAGCAAGTACAAATGAATAGCCTAAAAGAATGTAAACAAAGACGTTTTTGAAGAACTGAACAAATTTAGGGTGGGTATTATAAAACTACTTTGAGAGTTAACTTAAAGTTAACTTCTGGAATAACATGTAATTCAAAAAGTTAACTTCAAGTTAACTGTCAAAGCAGTTTTATAATACCCACCCTTAGGGCGGGTATTATAAAACTACCTTGAGAGTTAACTTAAAGTTAACTTCTGGAATTACATGTTATTCAAAAAGTTAACTTCAAGTTAACTGTCAAATCAGTTTTATAATACCCGCCCTTAAAGTGAAACTGAAGTGATTGCTCTGTTCAGATTCAGTTAATTCAGTTTCACTTGTTCATTTCGTTCAGAACGGAAAGACTATCGGCAGTGTTCAACTTCAACCAATAAAAACTTACTATCGCCGTTTCATTCGTTTGAATACCCAGAGCAAGATCTACCATAGTACCATACCAAAGTCTGTCCCTACCTACCCTACTCTTGAGCCTAGTACTCATAATCGGGAATTGCGGATCTTTATTTTGCGGATTTTTTTCTATTGGTCGAATATGTCAAATTTAAATATATTCGACCCATAGAAACAAAATTCGCGGTTATGAGTACTAGGCTTTGAAAAGAAAATAGTTCTCGCACCAATAACCTCAACCTTTGGCCACGTCTTTAAATCCCATTGAGAGGTGCAGCACGTACTGCTCCGAGTAAAACTGCTCCAGAGGTCGTGCGGCGCCAATTCAATTTGAAAATTTTGTGCTTTAACATATTTGGCCGTTCCATATTATCTAATTTTCATTTTATATTCAGTCAGTCAGTGAAGAAAATCTGAATAAGGGCGGATATTATAAAACTGCTTTGACAGTTAACTTGAAGTTAACTTTTTGAATTACATGTATTTTCAGAAGTTAACTTTAAGTTAACTCTCAAAGTAGTTTTATAATACCCGCCCTAAGAATCCTAAAAAACCATAATAAATACATCTGAAGGTAGATTCAACCACCAAATTTGAATACTGAATTTTGGCTAAGAGCCGTTTAAAGCTTAGTACTCATAACTGCGAAATTCGCTTTTTTTGACATTGCTTCGACAATTTGACGTTTGATACACGCATAAAACGTCAAATTGTCAAAGCAATGTCAAAAAAGTGCGAATTTCGCAGTTATGAGTACTAGTCTTTACACGGCAAAGTTTCTTCACGAAATTATTCACGAAATTATTTCCGAAATATTTCGTAAGCTTACTATTCTTATAGCGTTTTCTGTTGGTAAAACTCGTGCTGTCCGAGTTCTGCACTCAACACTGAATCAGTTCACGTTTAGTGCAATCTCAAAAGAACATGAATTTGGCGCGTTTTGTCATTCTTTTAAAATTTATTATTTAACGATCCCTGATCCCTAACCTAACCTAAAGACATTTTCAATGGAATAAAAATTAAAAACGTTTGTGTGTATGAAAAAGTTGAAAACGGAAGTTTTTCCTGTATGTAAAGTACATAATTATGCTGTCTCCCGAGATGTGCAGAAATAATTCCAATGATACCTGCGTTGAAATTAATTTTTATGTCAATTTCAATAATAAAATTTTGAATTTTTTGTATCTCATTATCCCTGGCAAACATTCAGGCCTATGATGTATTCTGTCCTGTTATTTCAACGTCTGTGTTAAGGCTCAACATCTATTTCTGTCTCTATTTTGATGTTGCTGCTAAAATAACAGAAAATGATACATCATAGGCCTGCGATTGTATATAATATAATAATAGATCCGATTAAATTTCATTGGTTGAAAACAGTCAGAAACAGTCAGAAAACTAGTTTTAAGTTAAAACTAGTTTTCTGACTGTTTTCAACCAATGAAATTCACTCTGACTGGTTTGTGATTTCTGCAGAAACAGACCTAATAATTCTTCCTCTTCATCGCTGTCGCTCGACGAAGATAAAAAATATAGAATTTTATCAATATCGATATCCATAATTTTTTGGTTTTGTTTATACACAGACTTTTCGGCACTTTACGCCATTTTTGTTGTGCCCTGACATTGGCACGAGCTCTCTGACCTCGTGCTGGAAAAGTTGCACGAGGTCAATAATTGATTGCCCTGGTTTTCCAATAGAACATAAAAACCCGCTCGGAAACTGCCAACAGAACATAATTTTTGCATGAGTGCAGCACGAGTTTTACTAACAGAAAACGGTATTAGTTTCGGTTTTTCCTGTTGACACGGCAGATAAAATTTAGCAAAAGTTTCGTGAAAATATTAGTCATACGCAGGCGCAGTTACGTTTTGCCATCAATAATAGGTCTGTTCGCAGAGAAATCACAAACCAGTCAGAGCGAATCTCATTGGTTGAAACTAGTTTTCTGACTGTTTCTGATTATTTTCAACCAATGAAATTCGCTCTGACTGGTTTGTGATTGCTGTGCGAACAGGCCTAATATCAAATCATAACCTCATACTTTGGTAAACCAAACAAATAAAACTTTCGTTTTCTAATTGTTGTTGAATCTTTTTACTCCTCTGCAGTTTCATAAAGTTGAATTTCTGTGTTCCTTCTATAAATAAATATTTGTTTACCTTTGGCTCTGCCCAGCTGGTCCTCTCCCTTCCTCCTTATGTTTTTGGGCGCAAAACTTCTTACACCAGTTGACCCACCGGTAAGCAGTCTATCTTTATCTGTTACATAGGAAATTCAATGACGGATTCATAAGGTTCGAAGGAAATTAATGCGCCTTTTATTTTGTAATTAGTTGTATTCCTTTCAAGAGCTTGAAACACTCGAGCTACTCGCTCCGGTGTTCAGTCGCCCCCGATTTGCAGGAAACATATACGTGGTGCAACAAACACTTTTCGAAAGGAATAAGCGCGTGAAGCCCCGGAGCTGCGCCGGAACTCCTCTTAGGTGTGAAAGGAATACAACTATTGTGTGTGCCGAAACTCACGCATTTTCTCGGCCGCGCCCACAAAAACTATAGAACATTTTCTAAAGTTTATTGGCGAAATATTTCGTTAGTTTTCTTGTCGTGTAAAACAGGAAAAGTTGACTTACGAAATATTTCGGCAACAATTTCGTAAGTAATTTCGTGAAGAAACTTTGCCATGTAATACGGCTCTATAACAGAATTGCATCAGTAAAGGGTCTGTTACGTAAAAAAAAACGTCCCATGAATGGTTTCCAAAACCACTCAGTGTACGAATTTCTGTTTATACGCTCAAATTGTAGGTTTTGTGCATAATCGTGCCGGTTGATCGTTATTATGTTTCTCAGTTTTTTCGCTTTCTACCCCGTTTCTTCAGTATTTTATTGCTCTTTTTACTCTGAACTGTTCCTATATGCACTCCGGAGCAAAACGAGTTCATCTTACGGTAGTTCCATTAATTTACTTTTCACCATCCCAAGCAAATAATTTTTCGTCTAGATTCTAGATCAGGGACCCGGACCGGAACGTTATTGAACCGAAAACCGGAACAAAACCCATATTTCATGTAAATGTTGTAAGGGTCTAATTTTATATGGTTGTTCCTTGAGTATTCCTTGGAGGTCCTGAGTTTAGAATGGACACATTTTTCTGTTTGCTGTTTGGTCGTCTCGTAATAAATTAAACATTCTGAAAAACAGGGCGTTTGTAAGTGCGCATTTCTCAACTCGACTAGGCTACACCAAGGATATTACACACTACAATAGGATAGTCATCGGCCTCGATGTTTGGCATCAAGATCATATAGTGTTGCACCGTTGCCGACGTCATCAAGAGTGTCATTAGCGGTTTGCGCCAGCGGTCGTAGTTATAGGGAGTGTGACCCAAATATGAAAGTTTTGGTGCAAAAAAAATCTAGGAATAAATATTTAAACCGCATCTTGCTACGATGAACCTTTTTCGAGTTGGGGTGGTTTAAAGTTACGAACACCTAGACTGTGACGTCATCCGGGCTTTGGAGTCACATTATTAACACTGTAGAATTTTCCAAGACAAGAGTCAACGATCTCTAGAGCGAATAACAACCACTTAGGCTGAGTTCGGCTCTGCATTCCACGGAGCGGAACGGTATGAGCATGGATATCGTGACGACATACGCGGTCATAAGCCCAACGCAAAAGAGAATACTAAAACGAACAGGATCTTATCGTTTCGAGCGCGCTCAGAGTTTATGGAGTGGTAAGTCGAACTCAGTCTTGAAGTATAAGGCACGGTTCACTGAAAACCGAACGAACAGAAGGCTGCGATTTCAGCGGTTAGCCGGTGTGACGCCACAAGTTCCAGCATAATTTATCTTCATAGAAGATTCTCGGATACTATTTTGAATATGGGACTGCGGTTTTCACGAAAGTTCTTAGATGTTTTTTCTTGATTTAAGTAGCTCAAATTGTTTTTTTTGATTAACATAATAGGGAAAGAGAAAGATGCAAACGAGATCTAAATAAGAGTTGTTTTAAGAATGTTAGTTAATCTACTTTTAATATTTATTTTAAAATCTATTCAAATCGATATTAATAATCGATGTTTAGAAATTATCGATAAACATCGCAAATCACTAGTAAGATTGTTGGACGTTTTTTTTTTTTCAACTATCACCTTTTGGCAGTCTCTCTGAGGGCCGGTTTCTCAATAGCAAGTCACCCCCGCATAATAGCATAACTCAAGGGACACGTTTACCCTGGACTTAAAAGTAACCCGGAGGTGACTCGCTATTGAGAAACCGACCCTGACTGCCAGCCCGGTCGGCACATTCAAGTGTTGAATTTATCTGTTATCATAAGCAGGGTTATTCCTGGGGAATTTTTGTGTATGCCTGCAGTGACACTCAAATAGTGCCAAATGGTGCAACTTAGGGTGGGTATTATAAAACTACTTTGAGAGTTAACTTAAAGTTAACTTCTGGAATTACATGTAATTCAAAAAGTTAACTTCAAGTTAACTGTCAAAGCAGTTTTATAATACCCACCCTTAATAAAAAGTGATGGGAAATTATTTTTTGACTTTTTACCCATTTCTTTTTATAATATGATTAAAAGGAGAAAGATATAATATATTTCATATATTAAATTCACTATAATGATAATTGACAGTCACGTCACTGTCACTAGTTACACTCACATCGACAGATCCGATCCAAGCCATGTTCGTTTTTGTCTTGCGGTTTTGTCATCTTAAGCCGCTTTCCAGCTGTGTGCTTCAAGCACGGTGCAGCACAGTGTTCTGTGTTTGAAACGCAAAAATTAGCAGCTCTCGAAGCGCAGTACGGCTGGAACACAAACTCGCGCTTGAAGCATTTTCGCGCGCAAAAGCTCGATTGCGTGCTCAAAAGCGTCAGCTGGAAAGCGGCTTTTTTCGTCGATTTGCTCCGACATTTTGACAAGCACGTGATTTGTGAATTGAAATTGTCTGATGCAGTCACGTGCCTGTCAAAATTTTGGAGCCATTCGACGAAAAAGATGACATTAACGAACACGGCCCCAATGACCTGACAGATCTATTACAATTCTCACAGGTCAGGACTGGGACTGAGGTCGTTAGCAAAGAAATAAAATGAACAAAAAATACAATAGAATAGAAATAAACAGAAAATCCTGCTCCACCTCCAGTCTTTCTCATCTTAAAAATTTGAAAAAAGATAATACCTAATAAATGTGAATCATGCCAAATTTTTCAAAGTGGTGCCACCGTGCATTTTGCGGGCGAAAAGTGCCACTTTTAGCACAATTGTGCCCTTTGAACAACACTGATCATAAGCCGCTTTCCAGCTGACGCGTTTGAGCACGCAATCGAGGTTTTGCGCGCGCAAGTGCTTCAAGCGCATGTTCGTGTTCCAGCCGTACTACGCTTCGAGAGTTGCTAACTTTTGCGTTTTAAACACAGAACACTGTGCTGTTCCGTGCTTGAAGCACACAGCTGGAAAGCGGCTATAGAAAGGTATAAAACTGAATTTTCGCGACACACTACTTCCATGATTTCATGAACACAAACGCTTTCGCGAGCAACTATGACGTCATATTGAACGTAGATTGCGGGAAGCATGAATGCAGCTTCTAGCCAGCGTTCAAACACATGACGTCACAAGACGAACTATGGTTCGTCTTTGGATGAACTATTGATTGTATTGATGAACTACATTCGTCGCGAAAATTCGGTTTAAGCCTAGTCTTGCTGATGAAAAGTTACAGATTAATTTATGTTTTTTTTCCGGTCGGTGTAGTTCCAGTTCACAGTTCACCGACATTTTCGAAAAACTCTTAATCTGTCAAATGTCATTCATATGAATTTATGACGTGTGGCTGGCGAGACGCGACCGGATTTATGAAATCAATCCAATCGGTATAGGTTTAACAATTCCTAATTTAAATAGATTCTACAATCCCTTACTCTACTGTAGAGTAAATATCGACTAAAAAATGGCTCTGATTTGTGCCAGTAAGTATTAATCATTTCATCTGTATTCATTCATGTTTCCAGCCAGCACTAAACAAAACTAACCTATAAAATCTCGTTTATTTTGTACTTTTGTAGTTTCCAATGAAATCCCTGAACATCCGATTGTTTCACCATCTTCCGGAGCAATTTTCGAAAAAAGGCTCATTGAAAAGTACATTGTCGAAAATGGAGTTGATCCCATATCAGGAAAAGAACTCACCGCTGAGGAACTAATTGAAATCAAAAGTAAGTCAAACCATAGTTACCTTCAATTCTTAGTAACAAAGTGAATTTTAGCCCCACCTGTTGTGAAACCTAAACCTCCTAGCGCCACAAGTATACCAGCAACATTAAAACTTTTACAAGATGAATGGGATGCTGTAATGCTTTACAGTTTCACTCAAAGACAACAACTTCAAACAGCCCGTCAAGAACTCAGTCATGCTTTGTACCAGCATGACGCTGCTTGTCGTGTAATTGCTAGATTAAATAAAGAGGTAACTGCTGCAAGAGAGGCTTTGGCAACACTAAAACCACAAGCTGGTAGCATGTCTGTACCACAACCAGCATTGGCTGCTGAATCATCAGGAATTGCTGCTCAACCAATAGAACAAGCTGGCATGAGTATTGAAATACTAGAAAAACTACAAGAAACAGCTGCAATTTTAACGCAAGAGCGCAAGAAACGAGGGAGGACTGTTCCAGATGAATTGGTTACACACGATCAGTTTAGGTCTTTCAGAACTCTGGCATCACTTATTGGTTTGCACTCGGCTAGTGTACCAGGTATTCTAAGTTTAGATCTTCATTGCACAGATACTAGCAGGGTACTAACTGGAGGAAATGATAAAAATGCCACTGTATTTAATAAGGACACCGAACAAGTTGTTGCTATCTTAAAAGGTCACACCAAGAAAGTTACTAAGGTTATTTATCACTATAATGAGGATATTGTTTTAACTGGTAAGTTTAAATAATTTTTTTGATACTTCTAATGGCCATATGTAGTTCAGTGTACTGTTCCTCTTGTTACATACATAACAAATAGTTGTTATCTCAGTTGTCATGAACATGCGGCAATGTTTCGAAACATTGTTCATGAATGAAATGACTATTTATTTTTATTTATGTAAGTCCTCAAGCATATTTAACACTAGCCTTACATATATTTTCAGCATCACCTGACTGTTCCATTAGAGTTTGGCATGTTCCGACTTCTCAAACTACATTAGCATTACGTTGCCATGATGGACCAGTTACTGGATTATCACTTCATCCTACAGGAGATTTTGTATTGTCCACTTCTGATGATCAATACTGGGCCTTTTCAGATCTCAATACTGGGCGCTTATTAACAAAAGGTAAATTTTTTTGATGATAATATAGAGTCACCTTGCTATTTACTCCAGCTTACTTTTTGGTTGACACCTAGCTTATATTATTTAATGATCAAAAACTAAGATTATTAAAGATAATTGCTACAAGAATGCACTGAAAACCATAAGTTGAGTTTGTGGGAGCTTCAAGTGAACTCTTCTGTAACTTTATTGGTATCATGTATAGTGCTAGCGGTACACATAGATATTTAGTGAAAACAGCAAATTGTGTTCAATTCAATTTCAATTTATTCAATTATAAGCTGTACAATTAAATTGTAATTTCAACAATAATAATAAATTGGCACCTAGATGTCTATGCATCTGTGTGTGCCAAAAACTATAAGTAATTAAATTTATTATTAAAGCTATAGCTAGGAGAATAAAATAACAAAAAAGAAAATAATAACAATAAACATTTCAATAAATAATTCAAATATATCAAAGTACCTACAATATGCCAATTTCTTAAATTAAAACAAGAACTGAATAATTTCAGACAAACTCCAACACAGTACGCCACTTCCATGAAGTATATGTCTTTCGTGTTTAGAAAAACTTTCGTTTATTTTTTATTATGTAAGTCAATGCCTGTTTATTGAATTTTTTTAAAGGATAGTTCTTGTTCCTCATTTCCAGTGGCAACAAGTTATGGAATTTTGGTGCCAAAAACGTAGAAGAATGTTTACTTAAGTCACGATTTATTTTAGGTAATATTAGTTGTTGATTTATATTGTTCCTGGTTTCATATCTATGGTTCGTTATAGAATGTTTGTAATGGTATTTCTGGATGTGGGAACAGCAAGTCGATATGAAGATGGTTTTTATGTCTATAATTTCCTCATTATAAAGTTGTACTGTTGAAAAAAGTCTTGGTTTTTTAAAAATTATTTTTACTATTGAATTTTGTGCAGTCTTTAAATTCTTGATGTTACTCTCATATGCGCCTCCCCACACCAGAATCCCATATTTCAACAGCGGCTCAATTAAAGCTTTATAAATTAAAATTAATAATTTTCTGGTGAGGAGTTCTCTCAACATATAAAATTTATGTAATAGTGCCCTTATCTTTTTTGTTAAATATAAAATATGATGGTCCCATCTTAAATTTTTGTCAATGTGTACACCCAAATATCTAAAATTGGACACTTCTTCAATTGAGTCTGGTATATTATTTATGGTAATTTGTTGATAGTTTGGTCTGTTGCTATCATTTATAGAGAATGCAATGTATTTTGATTTTTTACCATTCAATGTTAGTTTAAAGCTATCTAGAAAATCTTTAACCGATGATAGGCCCTGCTGAAATTTCTCCCTTACTTCTTGCCAAGTATCCCCAACAAATATGATAGCAGTATCATCTGCATAGGATATTATCTTGCCAGGTAAATTTAAGTCGTTTATAGAATTTATATACACATTGAACATCAAAGGACCCAAAACAGTTCCCTGTGGTATTCCCATTTTGACTGTATCTGGCTCACTAATACAATCTCCTATTTTAGTAAACTGTGTTCTATGTGATAAATAGTTTTCTAATAGTTGTAGTGTAGTTCCCCTTATTCCATATCTTTCTAGCACTTTTAGTAAAAACTTGTGTGATACCGTGTCGAATGCCTTTGATAAGTCAAGGAATACCACAAGGCATTTCTTTCTGTCGTCCAGATTTTTGGTGATATCGCGTACCAGCTCATACATTGCATCCACTGTACTAACCCCAGGAGTAAAACCAAATTGATTTTTTGATAAAATCTTGTTTTGTTCAAAATAAGAACCTAATCTTTCTTTGAGACATTTCTCAAAAATCTTTCCAAGGTTTGAAATGACACTTATTGGTCTATAGTTTTCCATATGTTGCTTATTGCCAGACTTAAAAATGGGGCTAACTATTGATGTTTTAAATTGACTTGGCACTATGCCAGTTTGAAATATAAGATTTATAATGTATTCAAGTGGTTTCAGGATGTACACATGGAGGGCTTTAATTATTATTGATGTTATTCCGTCTTTGCCAGGCGAGCAATTATTTTTCAGCGAATGTATGTGTTTAATTAAGTCATTTTGTGTTACAGGTTTTAAATACATAGAGTTTGGGGATGGATTTGTTAGTTTGAATGCAGTTGATGGTGTTTTTATTATATCAGCCATTCTTGAGCCTATGTTTATGAAATAGTTATTGAAATTATCAGCAATATCCTTATGGTTTGCAATTTGTTTACCATCTTCCAACTCGAGGCTGCTTATATCGGTCTTACGGTGGTTCCCGTTCCCATTTACAGCTTCATTCACAAGTTTATAAATTTTTTTAATATTTTTATTGTTTTCATATATTTTATTTTTGTAATAGTTGTTTTTTGTTTGAATGATTAGCTTGTTTAATTTGTTCCGATAGCTTTTATACTCTGTAAGGTTTTCTGGGGTAGGGTGTTTTTTTAAGTTTTGTTTTAATTTATCTCTTGTTTTTATTGAGATGATAAGACCATTTGAGATCCATGGTTTTATTTTCTTAAATTTTGTGTTTATAATTTTTTCTTCATAAGATTTTTGTACTATATCAGAAATATTTTCCATTAGGTTTTCTAATGCGGTGTCTGGGTCGGGGTAATTTAGAGTTTCTTCCCAGTTTTTATTCTGTGCCAAATCAGTAAGTTTCTCATAATTTAGTTTTTTAACAATATGACTTTTTTTATTTATATTTTCACAATTACTATTATCGTTGAAAGAAAACTGTGTTAATACTGGCAAATGATCAGTTATATCATAGTCAATAATATATGGTTTTATCTTAATTAAGCTCTCCTTTATTTTTGTTTTAAGAAAAATATGGTCCAGGCACGTCTTTGACTCTGGTCTAGTAACATCTTCATATAGAGAAAAAAACCCATGTACGTTCAGTATTGAGATGTATTCATTAACCAAGTTTTCATTACTATTCAATATATTTAAATTTATATCTCCCATAAATAAGGATATGTGTGCTTTTTTTGTGTTTGTTAGATATGCATTTAGATCATATAAAAAGTCTACTGTGTTAGAGTTTGGAGATCGATAACAAATATTTAAGCTCATTGTAGTATTTTTAATGGTGCAAGTTATGTTAGTGATACTTATCTTACAGGTAATCAGCTTCTCCGTGTGAAACACTGGGCCTAGTGAACATTTAGTGTAAATAAGCACTCCATCAAATGTGTTAAAATTTGCCTGATCATAGTAGATATCAAATCCCGGTATGTTACACAGTGAAGTTGTCATCAAATTATGACATTCTGTTAGAATTATAATATCACAGCATTTTAAATTATATGATTCAAGAAATACAAGAAGCCTATCAAAATTTGTTTTTATGCCTCTAATGTTAAGTAACAAAATATTAAAATGGTTTTGACCTATGTTAGGAATAGCATTAGGTGTGATAGTAATTTTTTTACTATCAACAGGAATATCATTTAAAACCTCTATTTCCATGAATTAGTCTATCAGTCTTTTAATGTTTTTTTAGTACCCTACGTAATTAAGTAACAATAATAAAGCTACCTACTCAATTTTCAAGTCTTCCTCGCTCTGAATTTTGGTTGGATCTCCAGTCTGGAATTTTTTCAAATAGATCTTTCCATGTCGAGTGAATACTGAGTGGAACTTATGAAGTTTCCTAAAATCCATGGCCTTTTTGAAAAGTTTTTGATTCTGCAGTGTTAAATCATCATTTATAAAGATTTTGTTGTTGTTATTGTTATTTCCCTCTAATCCAGATGTTTCTATATTCAGGCCTTTCAACTCTTTCACTTTTTTAAAGAATGAAAATTTCTCTTCTTGCCTCTTGAGTTTAACTAACAATGGGGCATCCTCCCTTTTTCCCAACCGGTAGGCTTCGCACACTGAGTCACTTTCCAGCTGAACATTCATAGATCTTGCCATCTTATGTACAATTTCTGTCATTGTTGAATCTTTTTGTTTTGGAATCCCATTTATTATAATATTGCTTTCCTTTTCCCTTTGCTCCATATCATTAACTTTTTTCTCCAACTCCTTAATTTTGTCCTTCATATATTCATTTTCCTCGTTAAGCTGTTTTGTTTGTGAAACTAGCGTTTCAATGATGATTTTTTGATCATCAAATGAATCTGATATGTATTGGACAGATTTTTTTAAGTCGACAAATTCTTTCTCCACAGTCTTTTTAAAAGGTTCCAGGTGTTGCTTCATGAGATCAGAAAATATGGTTCTGATCTTCCTTTCATCCATTTCAGTTATTTTTTTTATGTTTTCCGGTCTTTGTTGACAACAGTTTACTATCTCTTTGGTGTTTTTGTCCTGTTAAAATGTTAAAAGCCTGAATTTTGGTATACTTGGTATTTAAACCATAACAATTGATTTGGCCCGTAGCACTACCCCACAACTCTCATTTGTTTAAACAATTCACTCGATTTGTTAAAAAAGCACAAAATAGGCTCACAATATGCCAATGCCAAATAAAATTTACATTGGAAGTTGATAAAAAGGACGAAGACCCATCCTGACCCAAGTCGCCATTTTGATTTTTTGTTTATACATATTCTTTACTAATTGAGTTAATGCAAAATTATTGATTTTTCGAATATTGCATGTGGGGAATCGATTTCGACTAATTACGGGTCAAGAAGCTCGACTATTAACATTACTCATACTCATACTCAATATGCTTTATTGTCCAAAAAATATAAATCTCTACTGACAAAGCGGATAATATAATATACTAATTTATATACTAATCTACATTAATAGTTATACGAATTACACAAAATCACATAAAAATCTTAAAATTGCTAAAATTAACATAAGGCCAAAGAATGACTAATTAAAATGTAATAAATAAATTGAAATAATATAAAAGAAACAAATCAAAACACAAAACATAAAAAATTGTAAATATGTGTATAGGTCTATAAAAAATAAAAAACAAGACAATCATAAAACATCACCATAATATTCCTCCAAGCTGTAGAATG